CTTCGGAGTTACATGCTACATGAACTCGGTGGTTCAGTGTTTAAGTGGACATTTGCTCCTCTCAGATTTGTTCCTCACTGGACGATACCAGCGCGACCTCCAACGAGACAACTGGAAAGGTACAAAAGGTATCCTCCCAGAGGCGTATGCGACGTTGCTATCGAACCTCTACAAGGGTGATGTGTCGTCGGTACGCCCTAGCACTTTCAGAGTACGTTTCAAGATATTTGCATCTTCATAGGCTTTTGCTAACACATGACAGCGCATTTGTGGTCACTTCAACTCGCAATGGGGTATTGATGAGCAGCAAGATGCCAAGGAATTTCTCGAATTCGTGTTGGACTACATGCACGAAGACATGAACCTGACATGGAACAAGCCGCCCCTTAAACCGCTGACAGATCAAGAAGAATTGACTCGTGAACGGTTTCCACGGCAATACTCGGCCATGATCGAATGGCGACGGTACCAGCACCGCGACATGTCCGTTATCGGTGGTCTGTTCGCTGGGCAGCACGCTTCACAGCTCACATGTCAAACGTGTGGTGTAACCAGTACCACGTATGAGGCGTTTTGGAGCATTAGCGTGGAAATTCCTCGCGAGGGCCAGTGCGACCTACGCCAATGCTTAGAGTCCTATTGCGCGCCAGAGCATCTAGCAGGAGACGAGCTATGGCGTTGCCCACGCTGCAAAAAAGACCGCGAGGCGGTTAAGAAGATTACCATCACTCGAGCACCGGACACACTTGTCATCCACTTCAAGCGGTTTAGCGCATCTCGTACTGAAACTGCACGCAAAGTCCGCACGCCCGTCCACTTTCCACTTCAAAGGCTGGACATAGGCCCGTTTGTTGAGCCACCAATGACCCCGGAGCAAGAGGCATTTGTTGCGCAGAAAGCCCGGGACGGACCCGCGCAGTTGGCTGGAGTCAAGGCCGACCCCACGATGAATGGACCGTATGTCTACAACGCATACGCTGTCATCTGGCATATTGGTGCGACTCTTGGCAGTGGCCATTACATTGCTTTTGTCAAGGACAAGTCGCGAGGATGTTGGCGGTCTTTCAACGATGACAAAATCCAAGATTTTGATCCAGGCAATCTTCCAGCCAACAGTCGATTGCAGAATGAAAAGGCATACATTGTGTTTTATGAGCGGGAGAGGGTCGCTGGTGGGGCATTTTAGGTGTGGGTGTAAGCGCATTTCCAGTCAATTGACGTGTCCAATATTTTTTGCGCTTTGTTTCCTAGCGATGGGTTCATTCTTCCTATGCTGTTGATATTTGGTTCACGATGCTTTTGCATATTGGGAGGAAGCATTGCATAGACGGCGCTGGAAAAAAACGCAATCCGGCTGCCACGTTACATATACCACTTTGAATACCACGCGATGACCATGACTGAATTGCATGAAGAATTTGAAGGTAGTGGTGGAGATCAGGTTGGATGAGTACCTTGGCGCTGCACTCGATTCGTGTGTTCACCTATGACAAGGCTAGTCATCTGTAGACCCGAAGATCGGCCCGCAGGTGTGAGGAGCACCGAACTTTTTTATGGCCGATAAGATAGCAATGACTCCCCACTTCTCCATACTTATACTCCAACATTGACTCTTCCACTGCCATTGACTTTTCCACCACACTTGATACCCCTCAGAAGAATTAAACATGTCAAAGGGACGCGTCTGTCTTGCATACTCTGGTAAGTTTTCATGATGAGCTGGCGGCCCACTGTCACTACACTAAATACCGCTTTGTTACGAAGCACATACACTAACTTGAGTCGTTAGGCGGCCTCGACACCTCCACCATCCTCAAATGGCTCATTGGTATGCCAATTCTGCTCTAGAAACCGTGGCATGGACTAATTCGTTCGTAAAGAGGAAGGATACGAGGTCGTGTGCTTCCTGGCCAACGTTGGCCAGGACGAGCCATGGGACGAGGTTGAGAAGAAGGCGCTCAAGATTGGTGCGCTGAAGATGGTCATCCTTGACCTGCAAAAGGAGTTCGTCGAAGAGCTCTGCTTCCGCGCTGTTCAGTGCAACGCTTCCTACGAGGGTCGCTACCTCCTCGGAACCTCGCTGGCTCGTCCAGTCATCGCTCGCGCACAGATCCGCGTCGCACAACAAGAAGGCTGTGGCTTCGTCTCGCACGGCTGCACAGGCAAAGGAAACGACCAGGTTCGTTTCGAGCTTGCCTTCTACACACTACAGCCCTCCATCAAGGTCATTGCACCATGGAGGCTGCCAGAGTTCTGCGACCGCTTCAAGGGCAGGCAAGATCTCCTTGACTATGCTGAGAAGCACGGTATTCCTGTCACATCCACCAAGGCGAAGCCATGGAGTATGGACGCCAACCTGGCACACTGCAGTTACGAGGCTGGTAAGTATACGAAGCTCGAATGTTAATTTGGTATTGACAAAGTGTGCAGGTATCCTCGAGGATCCAGATGTGTCTCCCCCAGACGACATGTGGACCATGACCGACTCACCTCTCAACGCACCCAACGAGCCCACTGACATCACCGTATACTTTGAGAAGGGTATCCCCGTCAAGGTCGTAACACCAGAGAAGACCTACACAGACTCTGTTGAGCTCTTTGTTGCGCTCAACAAGCTCGGCTACACTCACGGCATTGGCCGCATCGACATTGTCGAGAACCGCTTCATCGGTCTCAAGTCCCGCGGCTGCTACGACTCACCCGCTATGACGATCCTCCGCCTCGCCCATCTCGACCTCGAGGGTCTCGTCATGGACGCACAGGTCCGCAACCTCCGCGACCAATTTGTTTCGCACAACTGGAGCTACCAGCTCTATAACGGCATGTACTTCTCGCCCGAGCGCGAGTTCATTGAGAACAGTCTGCTCTTCTCCCAGCGCAGGGTCAACGGTGAGGTCAGGATGAAACTGTACAAGGGTAACGCGTACGTGCTTGGTCGCTCGAGCAAGACTGAGAAGCTGTACTCTGAGGAGGAGGCTTCCATGGATACCCTCGACAACTTTAGCCCAATGGATACCACTGGCTTCATTGCTATCCAGAGCATCCGGTAAGTCTGCTTCTTTTCAGAATTAAAGCTGTCAGTTACTGATTCCATGCTAGTTTGAAGAAGTACGGTCTGCAGAAGGCCGAGGAGGGAGCAAACATGTCCCGTGCGTAGAAATCTCAGCAAACTTTGAAGAAGTCACGGGGAACGGGTGCATGCTCAACGGAAACGTGCGCTCGCCAGTAGTAGCCACGCGAAAAAAAAACACGTGACACGTGACATTGAATAGCTACGAGCCAAAAATTTTACATAATGCCCAATCTGAGTCTCGAAAAGCCGCGGTGTTCTCATCTCCATGACCCTTACTGGTCAGCCCTGCAAATGACCCCGTTTTCTTAGCGTCTGCGCTTCCTCCCGTACTCTAGTCTTACCATGGTTCACAACAGGGTCTTGAACCGATTACATAGCCTCCCTCCCCCACTTGAATGATTGGGCGCTTATCTTTTTCCCTGATATTTAAAACTATGGTATCTCATGTAATTTCCGGGGTTTCCGGTGAACATGAGAAAAGTGGCAGCATTTCGTACGACGAGGGAGGATGGCTGAGCCTATCGTCGATGCTTATGGTGCAATATTTGGATTTGAGATTTAGAATGTGGTATCTCACTTTGTGGGGGTGAGGGAGCTTTCTTGGGTGTGTGTGTGTGTGTGTTTGTGTTCAGTGGCTTACTCCGCGGCCATGGTTCTTATTTATTCTTGTGATTACTCTTTAGTCTGGTCATTTTGTATGATTTGGAGATGAGTAGTTTGGTAGCGGACTCATGTTCTTGTGATTTGAGTAAAGTGAATAGATGGACGATATCTGGCGGTTTGTGCGAAGACAGGGTTCTGGAGGATATACGTATGGCTACTATGAGGGCTAGAAGGGTTTCTTTTTTTTGAGAATGCGGTGTGTTCAGTGCTGGGCTTTCTTGATAGCGAAAAGAGAAAGAGAAATGGTTGAAAATACTAGGGGGTTCTTTTTTTTGCACTGTAAATGTGATCGAGTGAATGACTTGCCCTGTTATTTTGCTTGGATAAACCAGCATTTGCTTGTTCGTTCTTAGGTGGTTCGTTCATATAGCGATATTTGCCTGTCTCACACTTGCATTATAAAAACTCGGGGGTTGAACATGTTCACATGCACACATGCGCTTGGAATAAGACATGTAGTCAAAAATAACGAAACAGGCTATGTGGGGTGTCAGTGGGCGAAGAGCAGACAAAAACGCCTCTTATAATTCCAGCCTTCGTTGTATGCAAGGGGACTCACGGGTCGAGCACGAAGGCGTGGTGTACTAACCACCCTCTGATTAGAGGAGCGGCAGAGCTGTGAGCTATATTGTGAGGGAAGGCGGGTGCTGGCGTTATATAGCAGTAGTCGAGTCATATAAAATGTCAGTCAACCATAGTTGTAGAGAGGGAAAGTCCGAAACTGCTCGCGCGCTCCATAAGGTAGTGACCACGAGGAAACTGGTCGATGTAGATTGGGTTATCGTGAGACAATACCAACAACCCCGATTCTCTGGTACAGTTCACGAAGTTCCAGGTGCTGGTTGGTGCTTTCTCTCGGCCATACCTTCCGTTCAGTGCAGGCACGTCAGAGACTTGGAAGTTGCAGGCCGAGTTTCGAAGTTCCAACCTAGAAACAACGCTGGATGGTGCAAAAGAGTCTCGAAGCTTGTGAGGAAGGCTCCTGGTGATGCAATATAGAGATCCACCAGTCGTTCTTACTAAATCTTTGCCTTATAGCCTCTTTTGCACTATGCTCCGGTGATGCTCAGTTACACCGGAAGTCGTGGTCGTTCGGTAGCGACGGATATAACAAACCGCACCACGGTTTTAGTATTTCTCTGGTGCTCAACCGAGAAAGCTCCAAGTCCAATCAAGGGAGTCTCTTCGAGGAAGGGCGGCCAGTTATTTTATTTTTATGGGATAAATATTTCTTGTTCTCTTCTTCACCACATGGCGCAACGTGATGGATAACCCTACACCAACCCCCAGGTTAAAGCGACCATCTGTCCAGGACGAGGACGAGGTTCGGAAGTCGCAGCGGCGCAGATTATCATCTGGTGACTCCCTAATAGAAACACTACTTCGTGTAAGTCATCTTGCAGGTGTTGGGAGTTCTTTGTTACATCCGTTTTCATTATACAACGTATTGTTCCAGGTCCAGAAACTGATTTCGTCGCAGATGGCAGAGAGTCCAGGCAGTAATGCTGATAATTCCAAGAACAACCGACGTCGTAGAGGCGAGGAGCGCTCGAAGGTCAGTATTAAGAGCAACTCACCCTCAGTCTCGCGTCGCCAGCCATATGGTCGACAAAGACCCAGACCGAAACTACGACAGATAGTTCCAGCTGCTTCGGCACCGAACTCCTCGGTTTTTGAGAATCAGCAACAAGAGTATGAACTACAGGCAATGCTTAACAGTCGCTCGAAGAGAATCACAGGTCGGATGGATGTTGCCCTTACCCTTTTACCGCAAATCCCTTTTCCTTATGGTGCTGGTCAGCAGTCCTCGTACTATCATCCGAGCTATACATCACCAATGGATGCAGAACGGAGACACTCGTATCATCGATATGGTGCGTCTTACGGGAACATACCCACTGGGAGTGGAGACAGTAGTCTGTTACAAGCACGTGGTGTTGCAGGGTTCATTTCGGCTCCAGCATACCCACCCGCCAGCCTTTCCCAGCCAATTCCTGCAGCAGGAACTTACCATCAATGGAACACATATGACAATCTGATCACAGGGCAGCGTGGTCAGCCGCAAGGTCCAGGTAGCTTGGCTGGCTTTCCTCCTCCAGAAGGCCCGGACCCTCGACTAATGGGCCCGCCACAATATTACCAGTCGGCCGTTACGAACGGGTATCCAGCGATGCCTTCGACTGGGCTATCAATGCGCTCAGCGGGTCCATCAGATGGAGTGTCGCCAGGTAGCTATTATAGCCAACATCAGCCGTTACCAACGCAGTTCGGCATGGCTACAGCCCCAGGCATGAGTATTAGGCCACCGCACCAACCAATGGCATATTCAGCAGTGCCTGTGAACGATCCACCGGGCAACTACAGCGGTTTCGCGCCTCCGAGGTCTTCTCAGACCAATTTCAGGACCGGACTTCAGGCACAGACCCAGTTCGCTTCGCCTGGGCCGGGCCAGTCAGATCCATCATTGCAGACACAAACCTCACCCATGGGCTTTCCACCACACCTCGGTATCCCCGCCCAGTACTCGAGCTATGTCAACTTGCCGCTGCCATACCCGCCGCCCATGTCCAACAACGCTGGCCCTTCAGAAACGCGGGCAGCGCCAATTCCCACACGGAGTATACCAAACACCTTACCCCTTCCTTCTTCTCCCAAGGTGCCAGTAGCCGAAGCAAGCGCACAGCTACTTGAGGAGCCGTCGCAGCAAAATGCTCAAGATAGTACCTCTTTCAATATCTTGAACTGGGATCCCACAAGCCCTTATCTTATGGGTCCAGAAGAAATCGAGCAGATAAGAAGGTTGTGCCTCGCTGGAGCGACAGGCGAGAATGGAAACGAGGGTCTAGATGAGTCTGGTCTTCCCTAGGAGAGCTGGGTCGGATTTTGAACGCCCCTTTTCTGTGCTCCGCGCAGCACGCCTGGACATCTGAGACGGATTCGGTATACAGATTGACATTCATTCACTATGGGGTGTTTTTTTTTCTCCCCGAAAGTGTTTGCTCGGGCTTCATCGGTACCAATTTTGGAGGTAAAGGGGGGTTGACTAATTGGTGGTATACCACTTGCTGCTTTCCATGTATGGGTTGAGGTATCCGTAACTCTAATCGGTCCTTGGAATCCAGATTCTTACTTCGTTAGTATTCTTGATACTGGTAGTATCATTTTAATTAATACACTCCGTAGTAATGCAATGAAAAAAATTGAAAATAGTTCGCGTTTGATTTATCGAGCGGGGGACGAGTAAAGAAGACAGCAATACAAGACCAAGTGACGCAGAGTACAGCACGATTTCTTGAGAAGACACATCCATCTGCTGAATGGTCCTAATAGATGATATGTCCAAAAACAGGAACGCACCTTTTTTTTCTTGGCTCCAGTCCAAGTCGTTAAATTCGTCCAGTATCTTACACGTTGGCGTCTCAAACGCCACCTCCCCAACCCAGTACTGCATAGGCTATCAAGCCCAGCAGTGCATCCCATGCCAATGATTTGATGGCATAGCCACCATCTCCAAGCGACCCCAAGACTCCGCCATAACTTAAATCTTTTCTCATTGTTGCTACGCTGGCGACTGCAAATCCACCCGAGACGGTGATGCACTTGACTACATCCGCGTCTCTAAGACTCATGATAGCAGAGTGGGGAAGAAGTAATATTGCTCGTGCGAGCAGTAGAAGAACCATGAATATTGAGTTAGATCGTAGTGCTGGGAGAGCCAGCAGGGCGGCGTTGAGTAAGATATTAGGTATCTGCAACGATGCTATTGGGCTGCGACGTCTTGGCACAGACTTGGCCTTAGCAAGATCTTTTGAGGTTTCCATGGACGCAATATCCGGAGATGAAAGGTGAAGTTGAATGATAAAAAGCAAGACTGTGAAGGATATCGGGAGAATCTGGCTCAGCAAGGTGTAATTGCGCACCATTGATGCGTCGTATTTGCGTTGTCTCGCTGCAAATCAGTTAGCTAATTCAAGCGATTTAGCGGGGCAGTAGATCTCACCTTTTTGAGCAATGTAGATATTCCAGAACCATGTTGCGAGAATGGCAGCTTCAGTCCACGCCGCATTGGGCGCGTTCTTGACCAAGTCCTGCGCAAAATCCTGGAAAAGCGTAGACTCCAACATCCATCTCTTTAGCTGCTCTATTGTGACATCGCTCGGTCTCTGGCTCTTCTTTGCACTCCATTCTAGGAAATGTGTGATTAAAAACATGAGCATATTGTAGGATAAAGTCGCAAAGCTCAAGGAAGCTAGAAAGGCGTAGATCTTGATGTGACGCGACCGCGCCGTTCGGGCTGCATCGAGTCTTTCATCTTTCTTCGAGGTGGGCCTGTTGAATATGGCGGCATACTGAGAATAGAGGGACCAGGTGATTGCGAAGGTGGCATATAACGCAGCGACAATATATGAAAGAAAGAGTGTGGTGCCAATGTAGTTGTTTGGTGGTGTGGTGTAGTACACCAGCGCGTCGTATCCTGGAATGTTCATTGTGGGATCAATAGCAAAGTCAATTGCAACATCCTGGGATCAAGAAAAGAGATATATGGTAACAAAAGAATCGCGTATTGTCGGGGACAGATCTAAGGTTTCAGAGTAGGCGATGATGGCTGACGTCATGACACAATCGTTGTCTGAGAACACGGGTGATGAGACATTTCGGCTGCTCCTTCCCTTCCGCTCGAGAACGCGATAGTGAGACGCGACATTTCAACGACATGTACAGACGGTGATACTTCTTCATCGCCTCAGGAGTAGTGTACTTACTCAGTCACAAGCGCCAAATCACGTGGTGGCTGTGTAGTTGCAAGTGCATTGGACGCCATGACGGCGGTACTACGGTCTGAGGATTGTCAGTCCAACTACGAAGCATCCGATTTGTTTCACACAACCCGGCTAGCTGATCAGTATGGACTTTGAGTAATGTCGTTTCTGGAGCGAGCATTTCAACCGTAAGCATTCTCTCATGCAACCAGAAACTGCTTCGCAATTGATGGAACGCACGATACATGTCCCTTTTTTTTGTGAAAACAATGGCTTACTGACATGCGATATGTAAGGCCCCGCAGATGATTGAAAATGACTCATTTACTAAAAGGGATTCAATTCAGCCAGCTAGCACGGAAGAAGATAGATAAACGACGTACCTGTACCGGTGAACCTTAAGGAACACGATGATGGGTAGAGGGCCTGACTCATTGGCCCAATGTACATCAACCCCAGCGTCTTTCAGCCCCAGCTCATTTCATGACTCATCAACTGGTACCCTTATACTTCAGCGGAGGTCCAGCAATCACGTGCCTTTGATACTAAGGCAGGCCAGGAAAGATGGTTGCCCGAGTTGGAACTGCGTTTTTTGGTAATGTTGCCAAGACGTATCAGGCAGCCACCACTACAAACATGCATATATAGAGAAGAGTTTCCCACCATCTCAAGTCTTGAACTCACACTACATCCCAAACTCTCACACACATATACATAACATTATCAATAACAAAAGCCATCATGCAGAATCATCTTTGCGGATGCTACATATACAACTCAGAGACCGCCAGACGTAGCTACTTACCGCAGGTCAATCTAGACGCTCACACAACAATCTTGTCAACAGCTTCTCGCACAGTACTGACGCAAACTTTTGTCAATGGCTCACAAGACACGTTGGACGAGATAAGGTACTTTCTTTACTACACCCCTAAAGCGATTGAGTTGCCTTGGGACTAAATCTTGCCATACAGGTATGCTTTTCCATTGTACGACGGCGTCAGCGTCGTCGATTTCTACTGTGAAGTTGGAGAGCGCACAATTTACGGTCTGGTCAAAGAAATGAACGAGGCCAAAAAGACCTACCAAGAGGCCAAGCAACGAGGTGAAAGTGCTGCATTGCTGGAACAGCTACCTGATGCCGCCGATGTCTTTACAACTACAATCGGCAATATTCCCCATGACACAGTCGTGAAAATCACTATCAAATATGTGCAGGAGCTCAAGCATGATGCCGAAGTCGATGGCGTGCGCTTTACCATGCCAACAGCGATTGCTCCGCGCTACGGAGGTTACTCTGGAGGTTACGCTTCGGAACTACAAAAATCACTAAAACCAATACCGTCTGAAGGGATTTCAATAACCGTGGATATCAGCATGGCTGAGGGTATCCCAATCAAGAAAATTGTTTCCCCCTCCCACCCTATCCAGGTCACTCTTGGTTCATTATCTAACAGTGCCATCGATGAGGATCAGTCACTATCTCGAGGTTCGGCCACTCTTGCTCTAGGTACAACGGCACTTGAGAAAGATTTCATCCTTCAAGTGGTTCCAAAGGACATCGGTGTTCCTCAAGCAATTCTAGAGAGACACCCAATATTGCCAAATCAACGCGCCTTGATGGCTACGTTGGTACCAAAGTTCAATCTCAAGTCGCAGAAACCAGAAATCATTCTCATTGCAGATCGTTCGGGTAGCATGCAAGGGGAGAACATTACCACTCTCATATCGGCATTGAAAATCTTTTTGAAGTCGATTCCTCTGGGCTGCACATTCAACATCTGCTCTTTCGGGTCAAGGCATCAGTTCCTTTGGCATGAAAGCCAGATATACGATGAGAAAACGCTGCAGCAGGCGATCAAGTAAGTACTGGCATTTTTTGAGACCATCACTTGAAGACGTATACGGCGGCGACATGTCCAAGCTGCACAGACTTCCTCAGCAAAGTTTCTTTTAAATGTCAACACCAGTATTTTACTAACATCATCTTAGGCATGTTCAAGATTTCGACGCAAGCTTCGGTGGAACAGAAACTCTTGCTGCTGTCAAGGCATGTTGCGAGGCCCGAAGTAAAGATAGCCCTACTGAGCTTATTTTGCTCACAGACGGTGACATATGGTCTCAGAACGAGCTTTTCAACTATGTTTTCAGTGCAACCGAAAGTGGAGATGTACGCGTCTTCCCCTTGGGTATTGGCGGAGGGGTATCGAGTGCCTTGATTGAGGGTGTCGCAAGGGCAGGGCGTGGCTTCGCTCAGATGGTCACAGACAACGAGAAGATGGATAGCAAAGTTGTTCGCATGGTAAGTATAGCTGGGTGTTTGCGTGTATCAAGTCGTGTGACTGACAGTTCCTACAGCTGAAGGGAGCACTTACTGCACATATCAAGGACTATCGTCTGGAGATCAAATATGAAGATGGTAATGTCGAGACGGTCGCCGATGGCCTTCGCGTACACTTCGATCCCAAAGACTCCCAGGACTCAAGCGACAAAACCGAAACCAAGCCTATATCATTGTACGACCCTGATGTCAAAGAAGAGCACCCCAAGGAAGGCGAGTCAAAGGATATGTTCGCAGGTCTGCCGGATCTCAAGCGCCCACCTCTCCTACAAACGCCCCACAAGATCCCTTCTCTATTCCCCTTCTACCGCACTTGCGTATACTTGCTCATTGCGCCCGAATCATCGCACCTGAAGCTCAAGAGCGTGGTCCTAAGAGGCACCTCCCCACAAGGTCCTCTCGAGCTCGAAATCCCAGTCGAGTTACGCAAAGATGCCGACGATATGATCCACCAGCTTGCCGCACGAAAAGCAACCCAAGAGCTTGAGGAAGGTCGAGGCTGGATCGCAGGCGCTACCATCGACGACACTGGCGTGCTGATCAAGGACAAGCATCCAAGCATATACACTCTGCTCCAAAGACGCGAAGCCGTACGTCTTGGGGTCGAATTCCAGGTCGGAGGAAAATACTGCTCTTTCGTCGCAGTTGAAGCAAACAAATCCGCCATTGCTGAGATGCGCCAGAAAGCTCTGCAAGCAACGATAGACAGAAACGTTGCTGGCAAAGACGAAGCAGAGGAAGGTTGGGACATGGTCGAAGAAGGTATGTCTTCAAAAAAACCCCATTTTATTTTGGCTGTAGAATCTAACAACACATCCTACTAGACGCTCCATCAAGTCAATCTCGGTCGCTGCTCCACTCAACATCGCGCTCAAGGCCCCTAGCCGGAGCCATGCTCGGCAACGCCATGCGTAAATCAGGTCCAACATCCTACGGCTCCGCAGCCATGGGCGGCAGAGGCGGTATTAGAGGCGGCGCCGCCATGAGCTTCCTCAAAGCCTCCCCCGCATTCGCAAGACAGCCGAGAAGTCGAGGCAACTTCTACACCTTAGGAGCTGAAGAAGAAAAAGAGGAAGAGGACGAGGAATCGGATGACGACATGGGATGTGGAATTTTTGACGATGAAGATAGTGCTGGTACGTTACCCTTACACACATATATCCATATACTCCCTCCCTACCCCATCCCCCTTTCCTGCACACACACACACCAAAAAAATTGAAAATTAAAAGTTACTAACTCATACGACAATAGTAGCACCACCCGCCTCCATCGACTCTGCAAACCCCGCAAAATTCCTCCAAAGCCTAATCGCGCTGCAATCCTTCTCTGGCGCCTGGCCCTCCATCTCACGTCTTCCATGCAAGGAAATGGGCATCAACCTTGCTGAAGCGCGGGAAGTGGCACAGAGACTTGTAGATGATGGCGTAGCAAAGGATCTGGCGGTGGCGGAACAGTACGTAGCTACGGCTGCGGTGGTGGCCTTTTTGGAGAAGAAGATGGCGGATGAGGAGGAGGTGTGGGAGTTGGTTGTTGAGAAGGCGAAGACGTGGCTGGAGGATACAGTGGATGCGGCGTATCTTGATAGGGTGCTGGTGGCTGGTAAGGGTGTTGTGGGGGTTTAATGGGCATTTTTTTGTGGTTTGACGAGCAAAGGGACCTGGAAGAGTAAGACTCAGGTGTCATTGTTTGACTAGGAATCATAGGATTTAACGAATTAATGACATTGCTACCTATAAACTCGTCTGCTTTTGATTCAATACACCATCACTCGAGCCGTCCGTACTTGTCACCATCACCAAAAGAACAAAAAGACAGCAAAAAAAAAGTCACAAGAAAATACAAGAGTGTTTTTTGGTTCTCTGACGAATCCACGATGCATAACTCCACCCGTCCAAGAAATATCTCTACTGCCTATTCGTACACGCCCACACCTGCGCAACCTGATAAAAAAAAATCAGAGAACACCAGACACACACACAGAGAGAACCCCAGAACCCTAACAATGCCAACTATTTTCATCCATTTCTCGATTACATGACGGGCGTGACGAAGGTTCCGAAGCACGTCGACGATCGGCTCGCCCAAGAGCCATGCGATTCAGTATTGAAATCTCCACATGGCTTAGAATTCCTGTTCAAAAATAAAAAGCATTAACACCGTGCCTCAGAGACGTGTAAACGATTAATTGTCTCCAAGTAGGGGCTGTGATTCATGACCATCTCCGGGGCCACCCTTCTTCTTCTTACCACGCTTCTTCCTCCTCTTCCTGTTTCCGCCCTTGCCGCCTGCGTGCGAGGATTCGGCTTCCGAGTGCTTACTATCCTCTTTGCCATTCGATCCGCTGTTGGTGGCTTTATCATCTGTATCGCTAGAACTAGTAGTCTCTAGGACGATCTTCTTGATACCGTTGACGTCGACAATGTTCTCGGAGATGCTGCCGCTGCGAGCAGTATGGCGTCTAACAGGACTGTGCGGGGGTGTGGGAACCGTTCGAAGGGAGGCAATAGTGCTGACGGATCGGGATCGGCCCCGGCGTCCCGAACGACCGTTTTCGCTGGTGGCACTCTTGGACAACAGATGCGAATTCTCGTTGTCAGCTGCTTTACTCTTGGGGGATGCATTCTCAAGATCATGGTCTCGCGCTCCTGATCGTCCAGATCTCCAAGACATGCGGTCGCCACTTGGTGCCATAGTGCCATATCCCACAGCTACGCTGAGAACTCCATCGCTAGCCTCACGTCCTGCGGACGACAATAGGCCTTCACCAACCCCACCTTCAGGAGCATACGAATCTTGTTTAATCACACCCTCGGTTGGTGCTGGCTCGATGGATGGCTGGTTATCTTCCGGTATCGTCTTTGGAATATCAGGGCCGGTCAGGTTGGTTGAGCCGGGTTTGATCTTGACAGTGTTGATGCGCGTTTGTTTAGGCCGGGTAGCAGCGTTCGAGGGACCGAGATGCTTGAGGTGCTCGATTACGGCAGGATCGTCACTGCGGAGAGGCGACATGCCTGCCTTGCTACCGCTGCTACGACGTCGCAGCATGAAAGAAGGTTTTGGATGGCCGTCAGGCATGTCTCCTATCGATTTGTTACGTAGCGCAGACGTGCCGTTGGCTTCGCCATCCGTTTCGGTGTCGGTGACAGGTGCTTCTGAGAGCTTGCGCGAGGCGTCGCTGATAATCTTTCCTCGGGGAACACGAGCGCGCGGGGCAGGGGCCATACGACGTATGGCCTTGTGGACATCGATGAAGACATCTGACTCGTCAATGATTTCCCTGTCTCTGTTAGTTGATGCTCGATACTCTGTGATGGGCAATGACTTACTCGCCAATGAGCTCTTCAATGACGTCTTCGAGGGTGACAACACCAACGGCACCGCGAGCTTCAGCAGGGTATTCAGAAACCAAGACCATGTGAGATTTGCCCTCTTGGAAGAAATTGAGAATGTCCAAGCAGCTTGTCTCGGGGCGCGTCTCCGGGAGGGTAGCGAGAGCGAAGTCCCGGACGCGCAGTGCATCCTCGGGGTCGTAAGTGATGAGCATCTTGACAAGCAACATGCCCACAAAGTTGTTTTCGTTCTCAGGGGTATGGATTGGAATGCGCGAGTATCCTGCGGAGAGGATGCTATCCATCATCTTTTCATCGAGGACAGTATCGGATGACATGGTGAAAACATCCTTCATTGGCGTCATAATGTTACCCACGGCCTTGGCCTTGAGGTCCAAGACTGCGGTGATGATGGTAACCTCGTCTTCATTAAGGCGTTCATGCTCGAGTCCGAGAGACTGGTGTAGGCTGACTAGGGTCTTCAGTCCGCCCTTCTTGTAAACGGTGCCGTGGTCCTCGCCGAGGAGGTAATCAAGAAGTTTAGCTGTAGGCCAGGCAACAACTCCCATGATGTACATGAGACCGAGGACAATAGGGGACATGGCGGCGCCAATGGGCAATCCGTAGCGAACGCATATCGACTGGGGGACGACCTCACCGAAGATGACTGGTGCGCGTCAGACATGGACGACAAGCAATAGAGTAGGGTGGGTAGACATACCGATGAGCACAGTGGAACTAACAACTGCAGGCCATCCTCCGCCAAGGGACCTGTCGAGCACGATAGGAAGCGTTTCGTTTGTAATGACGTTACTCAAAAGTAACGTCACCAGAACCCAATGCTTGCCTCGCTCGAGGAGCTTGAGTACCCTTTTCGCGTTCTTACGCTCGTGTTTCTCGCCAGATGAAGCAAGGACCTGAAGGTAGATTTCATCCTGGCCCATCAAGCTAGGCGGAAGCTGTTAACAAAATGACGCACGACGGGGGGAGCTCTATTCAACTTACGCGATGGTCAGGCCCGCGAAGACACCACCGGCCAAAACCAGCGCGACAGCAATACCCAGAAACAGCCAGAGCTGAGGGTCATCAGTGTCTTTGGGGAGGTCACCGTCGGCCTCGCTCAAAGCGCTGAGAGGGCCGCCAAATGGCATGGGAAGCGCGGCGACCATTGGCGCGAAGGCATGGCAGAGGCCAATAAAGGCGAGGCGTAGGGTGGGCAGAGACGAGCCATTGGGGACGCGGGGGCGAGAGGCGCTGAGTGCCATGAGGGCAACTAGCAAAATGCAAGCACCGTGGTGCGGGGAGATGCAGACGGCGTCTGTATAAAGAGCAGCGAGGCGTAGAGGGCGAAATAACGATGCGGAAATAGCGGCACGGTCGGCCCGTGCTTGTCTGGCTGCTACTAGGCCAGAAGCTGCAAGTGAGCGAGCGCCCAGCTTTTTCCCCAACAAAACAGAGCATCGCTCTCCATGGTGCCAGTATGCAGCCAAGTTCCAATTGCTGGGCAAATCCTTTGCACCGTCTCCAACCTTGATCCTTCGTGACGAGTGCACTGGTACCTCTTCATATTGCAGCCGCGCGCAGGAACCAGCCCTGCATAAGTACAAAGTGACAACCGATAGGCGAGGCGGCCGCTGCAGAAAGAGACGTACCCATACCCTTAGTCACGTCTCCACTGTGCAAACGGTCTGGGAACCAACGGCGTCATTGTGCATTTTTACATGGGTTGCGGCATTTTGGTGTGCCAAGGTCTGGGTCGTGCCGGTTGGCGTCATCCGATGTGGCTTCGTCCCATGTGCATGTGGCTTCACTGTGGCTTGCGACTCCTTACGTGATCACGATATCACGTGACGGTCCTCTCTCTTGACACAGAGAGCCGCCGTTAGCCGCGTCGTTAACCGTCGGCTCCTCTGTCTCTGTCTACGCCCACCATGACCTCTATCCATGTATCTTTTCAGAGCGGTTGCTGCTGCTGCTGCTGCTGGGTAGACACATTTATTTCTGTCCTAGACAAATAATGGCTTCAAAAACACCATCACCTCGCACATTGTCCCACTACCTGCTGCGGCGCCAAACACTGCTTCGCCCTCGAGGTCACATCCGCATCCCCAACAGGCCATACTCTGCCGCCGCACCTGGTGCACGCCTCAACGGCACCGTCGAGTACGACACCACCCCGATCCTCAATCACACAGCCAAGTCAACCCTCTCCAATCCCGAGCTGCCTGCAGAGATACGGAATGGCCAGACAAAGCGCATCAACCTGTACACTGCCATCAACGAGGCCCTGCGACATGCATTGCAGACAGATGAAAGAGTCTTGGTCTTTGGAGAGGATGTCCAGTTTGGCGGTGTCTTTAGGTGTACAATGAACCTGGCTGGCGATTTTGGTACAGAGCGCGTCTTCAACACACCACTGAGCGAGCAAGGACTAGTCGGCTTTGCCATTGGAGCCGCCGCCGAGGGCATGAAGCCTGTCGCAGAGGTCCAATTTGCCGACTATGTCTTCCCCGCATTCGACCAAATCCACAATGAAGCAGCCAAGTACAGATATCGCTCAGGTAGCACTGGCGTCAACTGCGGTGGTTTGGTCATACGCATGCCAACTGGAAGTGTCGGACATGGTGCTCTGTATGACGCTACTCAGCTTTGTCCTAGACATATGCTAACACACCATGCAGCTATCACACACAATCACCAGAAGCTCTCTTCACCCATACGCCTGGTCTACGCGTTGTAATACCCCGCTCGCCCGTCCAAGCAAAGGGCCTTCTCCTTTCGGCCATCCAATGCCAAGACCCCGTCATTTTTATGGAACCCAAGATCCTCTACCGTGCCGCTGTTGAGCAAGTCCCAGTAGATGCGTACCATCTTCCTCTCGACAAGGCAGAAGTTCTCAAGACCGGCAAGGATCTGACAATCATATCCTACGGCACCCCACTATACACATGTTCAGCCGCTATAACAGCCGCTGAGAAGGACTTTGGATGCAGTGTAGAGCTGATCGATCTTCGGACCATCTATCCTTGGGACCGGGAAACTGTGTTAGAAAGTGTCAAGAAGACTGGTAGAGCAGTCGTCGTGCACGAAAGCATGATGAATGCTGGCGTTGGTGCAGAGGTCGCTGCGACCATTCAAGAAAAGGCTTTCCTAAGACTAGAGGCCCCAGTCAAGAGAGTTACAGGTTGGGCTACTCATACAGGTCTCATGTTTGAGCAGTTTGTCATCCCGGATGTTACAAGTAGGTCAACAGATTTTTCCAATCATTTAACCTATGCTAATCTAATCAGGGGTGTACGACGCCATCAAGAAGACATTAGATTACTAAATGAAGATACGATAGATAACGTATTCGTAAAAAACATTTCACGACTTTCACAAGCAACCAGAGCTGTCATTTATTTCATGTCTTTGCCAGGCGTATTCTCAATGCCCTGCATCATCGGTAGTTTCCTTGCCATGTGATTATTGTGCACAATATTAGTGACAACCTTCCCAAACTGTTTTGCAATGCACGTGTATGTAGTGTCATACTCGACATGTGAGATTGTCGTTATTCCATCGTCATCGGTATACTTACCTTACTCCACATAAGCTTACACTTTCCCCAGATTTTCGCTTCCCTCTAGCGGCGGGAGTCCCTTGCGCTAAATCACTAAGCTCCACCAGACACTCTCGCGCAAACGTCATGACTTTTCACGTTTAGTCCGGAGTAGAACCAGTCGCTGGTTGCAACAACGTCACAGCCGTCATAGCTCCTAGGTTTCTGCACTACGATTGAATCTATCTCACTGGGAATCTTTTTATAACCCTTTTCCTTTCCTACCTTTCCACACACACACACACACACACACACAACGTTCACACCAAGCCCTTCAATTTCTAAAAACAACATCCAGTCTTAGAAGAGCTTGTACAACAAAATGGCCAGCCGAACTTTTACACCTATATTCCGCCAGACTCTCCGCGTCTCGCAGCGGAAAATTGTCGCAGCACCATGCCGTCGTTTTTTGAACACAGAGACAGCACCTAACCTCTACTCTGCACGTGCCAAAGTCGTCGGAGCACGAACAGGGTACGCCGGATTTTCCTCACGCTTATGCATAGTCCCGAAAGAATTGCAACTAACAAAATTACTCCAGCCATGTCGACGGTGAAAATCTCAAAGTGGAATTGACAATGGCCAAGGTCCTCGGCGGCGCAGGCGACAAGGGAAAAACCAACCCTGAAGAACTTTTCGCTGCAGGATATGTACGTGCTTCCATACGCCTCATATCTATCATCTAATTTCTCTTGCTAATTGACTATCTTAGGGTGCATGCTTCCAATCCGCAATGAATGCTTCCGCCGCTTCGCTCGGTATCAAGATGCCCACCACGCCCGAAGACTCCATTGTGGAATCGACGGTCGAGCTTGTTGGTGATATGAAGGAACTCGACCTGGGGCTGCGTGTCAACTTGCTGGTAAAAGTACGAGGTCTCTCGGAGCAGGAACTAGAGAAAGTGGTCAACAAGGCAAGAGAAGTGTGCCCGTACAGCAGGGCGACGCAGGGAAATGTGCACACGACTATAAAGTGCGAGACCATGTAAATACCGCATCAACATCTCATGTACATACACATACCATTGTTATTCTAGATACTAGTTACCTTAATGCCAGAAACTACAACCGTGCATCTTTCTCAACCTCAACAACAGCCGCCAACGTCCCCTCGCCCACATCCTCCCCGTCCTCTACTTCCAACACCCAACTCACCCTTCCGCGTCGATGACTTCTAACTTCCAGCTCCATCTTCATTTGCTGCACCACACAAATTACATCTCCTTCCTTAACCACATCCCCCTCATCCACCAGCACCTCGACCAACTTCCCAGGGAATGGAATAACAACATGCGAGGCATCCGCCACATTCCCTCTCCGATGCTGTGCCGTCGCCGCCGCCGCACTCGCAGACGTAGCCGCCAGCGTAATCGTATACGGAACCGACTTTGGTCCCTCCATCCCCGGCGTTGTAAACAATACATCCGCCGCCAACTCAGCCGGGAAATCATTCCGCAGCACACGCGTGATTTCCAAATGACTTTGCACCGCATCTTTCTTATCCTTTGCCACTAACCCAAGCGCCCACGCATCTCCCTTCCTAAACAGCGTATTCGGCGCGGCTATAGCGCCAGTTGCTACTGCTCCCGCCGCTGCTGTTCCCGACTGAAGTCCATTCCCTTGCACCTTGGAAGCAAAGGCTTGACTTTGCAGGAGTAATTCCTCCTGCCGCCCTTCCAACCACTGCGTATCGCAGTTCCCAGCGAAGAAATCCGGATGCGACACTATCGCCTTGAGCATATCGATATTCGTCTTTACACCGCCGATAAACGTTTCATCGAGCGCTCGCTGCGCTTTTCTCACCGCATCCGCCCACGACGACGCCGTGACAACGATTTTAGCTATCAGACTGTCGAAATCGGCGCTGACGATGCTGGGACGGTGGGGGAGAAGGTGCGTATCGATTCTTATACCGTTTCCAACGGGGAAGTTGAAGGAGGAGATTTTGCCGATGGAGAGGGACCAGTTGGACTGCGTGTTTTCGGCTGTGATGCGGAGTTGGATTGAGTGGGCTGTAGGGGGGATGGAAGGGTTGCGGGAGGTAGGGGGTAGGCCACAGGAGGAAAGGGAAGCGCCCTGGGAAAGCAGGAGCTGAGACTTTACGATGTCGGTGGTTGAGAGGGCCTCGGTGATTGTGTGTTCGACTTGCAGGCGCGGGTTTACTTCGAGAAAGTAGTAGAGGTGTGTGGTGGGGTGGACGAGGAATTCGAAGGTGCCGAGGGAGAAGTAGGATATCTTTCAAATATTAGTGGCGAATTTGGATTGGAGCATCTGGGGTAACCAACGTGTCTAGCCATTTTCAGGGCGTCTTCGATTATTTTTGCAATGAGAGGGCGGTTGGGGACGAGGCTGGGGGCTAATTCAATGACCTTTTGATAGCGGCGCTGGATGCTGCATTCGCGTTCCCAGAGGTGCGTTACATTACCTGTGCCGTCGCCGATGATTTGGACTTCGACGTGGCGGAAGCCGTCCACTGCTGCTTTTTCGGCGAAGACGCTTTTCGAAGGACTCTCTTCGACTGCTCGTTTCACCGAAGACGCGAGTTCCTTTTCACTGCGGATCAGTCTGATACCACGACCGCCGCCTCCGTCTACAGCCTTGACCATAATAGGATAACCAACTTTTGCGGCAAACTGCTGGACATCTTCAATCTTGTTGGTGGGTTTCTCAAGTGCTGGAGATACCGGGACGTTGCCTGAGCAGAAATTAGTCTGACTAGATGATAATTAATTTTACATGTCACGTACAGGCTTCAGCGAGCTGTCTCGCTTTAAGTTTATCTCCAGTATTACTTAGAATACCCCACCCAGGGCCGACAACCACTGCACCTGCTTCATCCCATACTCTTTTGCAAAAGTCTTCTGATTCTGAAAGAAACCCGTATCCAGGGTGCACCGCGTCAATCTGATGCTGCTTGATGATTTCAATGAGTTTATCGATGCTCATAAATGTTGCTGCGGACTCGAGCTGAATTGCATGGGCTGCCCGTACAGCATGCGTTTCATCGCCAGAAGTGTAGATGGCGTACGTTTCAATGTCGAGTTCTCGGGCTGTGGAGATGATGCGAGTTGCTATTTCTCCTCGATTGGCGATCAAAAGACGCTTGATGGGTCTTTGCGGTGGTCGATCCATCTCTTTAGATTGAAATTCTGTCGAGACTAAACAATTCGTGTTCCAAAGGTAGTAACGGAAGTCACTGGTTCGGCGCCTACGGGAAGTGACTCTGGTATGCAGGTCAGTCACAACAGAGAGGAGGGAACGTTGATTCCAAAGTACAAACGGAGAGGATCTGACTTCGTTTCAGATACGAGCTTTGTCTATATCTACCGAACGATACGTAACATCCGCACTATTCAGACCCATAAATACGACGACGATCTGTCGAACGACTTCGGCCTTGCCGTCGACTAGTCTGCATGGGGAAAATATACCTCGGTTCCCCGGCGTTACCCCAACATTCGACGGGACCATCTGTGTATCAGCTCGACTCCTTCCAATATGGCTTTCTTAACAGGGTCTGCTCCTAAAAATTCTGTTTTGTAGTAGATCAATTGTGTCTAATCACCCATCCTCAGCACAATGGCTGGCAACGAACAAAAGAAGTCCCCACCCACGGACGCGTCAACGCCATCCGACTCTGCGAAAGCTAGGCTCGAGCAGGTCAGCTCGCACATTGCATCCAACACGCCGAAGCGACGGCGGAGGAAGGCTGCAGATTTGGATTTACCAGCTGATTACTCGGATATCCTTGGTCAGATTGCGACGCTCCGAAAGAGCGCTGCGACTCCTGATACTAGCAATCGAGGCTACCTGCGCCAGAAGCAAGCAGGCAAATTATGGGTACGCGAACGAGTCGAGCAGTTGCTTGATGAGGGGAGTTTTCAGGAAGTTGGTAGTGTTAGTGGGACTGTGAAGTGGAAGCAGGTGGGACCGTTGAAGGAAGAGCCAGAGGAATACGTACCTTCAAACAATGTGCAAGGTGTGTTTTATGGGAGACATTGTCAGAAGGAGGCGCTGACGGATGGCAGGGTTTGGAAAGCTAAGAGGAAGAAAGATTGTTTTTACGGCTGATGACTTTTCGATACGTGCTGGGCATGCTGATGGCTCGTTGATGGAGAAGACGGTATGTCTGAATTACCCGTTAAATTTGCACGCATACTCATGATTGTAGTTGTATATGGAGAAGCTTTCACTTTCACTTAAACTGCCGATTATAAAGCTTGTAGATGGATCTTCTGGTGGAGGCTCTGTCACTACAATTCGTTCCTGGGGTTACTCTTATATTCCACCTCTGCCGGCTTTCGAACATGTCGTCGCCCAACTCAATTCGGGTATACCAAACCTGGGTGCGGTCCTGGGTCCAGCCATTGGTCTAGGAGCTGCACGAGTAGTTGCTTGCCACTTCTCCGTTATGGCTGGAGATATTGGATCACTATTCAACGCAGGACCAAACGTTGTCAAAAACGCCACATTCGAAGAAGATCTATCAGTGACAGACCTTGGAGGTCCCGCCGTCCACTGTACAAACGGCACAATCGACAACCTAGCACCAGACGAAGCAGGCTGTTTCGAACAAATCAGAACAGTCCTCAGCTACCTTCCGGACTGCGGCACCAAACTCCCCCCAACAATCGACTGCACCGACCCAATCGACCGCACATCCGAAACCCTCCGCTCAATCATCCCACGAGCCAAAAACCGCATGTACAACCCCCGCGCCATCATCAGCGAAGTCGTCGACCTCAACTCCTTCTTCGAAATCGGCGCCCTCTGGGGCACAACCGCCATCGTCGGGCTCGCCCGCCTCTCCGGCAAACCCATCGGCATCGTCTCCCTAAACTGCGAAGTCAACGCCGGCGCCCTCGACGCCCTCGGCTCCCAAAAAATAACTAGGATGCTAAAATTCCTCGACGTCTTCAACATCCCTCTACTCCAATTCGTCGATATCCCCGGCTACGCCATCGGCACCGTCGCAGAACGAAACGCCACGATGCGCCACGGTATCACTCTCGCCCAGACGTACTACAGCACCACGATGCCCATCTTCAACGTCATTGTGCGCCGCGTGTACGGCGTCGCCGGGGGTGTCATGTTAGACTGCCGGGACCCGCGCATGCGCGTTGCGTGGCCGTCTGGGACTTGGGGTTCGTTGCCGCTGGAAGGCGGGATTGAAGTTGGGCACTCGTTTGAGCTTAAGGAGGTTGAACGCATGCAAGGGAAAGAGGCAAGGGAGGCAAGGTATAAGGAGCTAGAAGCTGAGTATAAGCGGTTGATGAATCCGGTGCGTACGGCGAATGCGTTTGGGGTTGAGGAGATTATTGATCCGGCGTTTACAAGAAGGGTTTGTTGTGAGTGGGTGGGGCATGTATATGAGAGTTTGTTGCCGGTGAGGGTGTTGGAGAGGGTGGCGGGGAAGTTGCAGCCTTCGTTTTCGTAGGGGGCGCGATGGTGGCGGTAGAGGGGGGGAGGGTGTTGGAGTGTTGGAGTGCAGCTGGCTGGGGGTGGATGAAGATAGAATATCATATATATGTCAGCCTTTGCTGTGTATAAAAAGATATTAAGAAGTCTCTAACTACTAATTCCTCATAGAGAGTTTTGTGTTGTACATAGTCGTTCAAAAAAATAAATATAACCAGCATCATTAAAACAAATGTGTTACACGGGGTCTGGAGTGCTAATACTTCTCTGGCTCGATCCGGGTTAGGGCGAGTAGGATTAGGGTTAGCGCCGTGAGAGTTGCCTGGCGATTCTTAATGGAAAAGAGTTATGGATGTAACCGGGGGTTTGACAACGCTAATCTATTCAATAGACTAACA